TAAGATATAAAGGTAGGATGTATACCCAGGCGCGACTCCAGAACCTGTGCTTGTTCTGACGCTACGGGAATTGGTTCAGGCCCCAGGGGGCCCAGAGCCCAGCGGTGTGGGGCCCCTCAGGGCCACCCGCTGTGATGAGATGGAGCCACTGGGATGGTGATGGACAGGATCAACTTGAACGGGTGGCGGCTGGCTGGCAGCAGGCTAAGCGGCAGGTCAATACCATCAGAGCCAAAGGCCTGAGAAGTAGACCCATAGGACATTTAGAAAAATGAGAAAAACGCACGAAACACACTTCATAGGAAATCCAGATGTCAAAAGCCAAAGGAAAGCAAAAACAAAAACATGTGAAAACTCTTAGCTTCATTGTACTAAGAGGAGACATGCATATTAGAATAAACATTTTACACACCCACCCAAATGGCAAACATTCAAAATCCGACAGTACCAAATGTTGGCAAGATTATGAAGTTAAATAAGTTAATACTTTGCTGGTGGGACGGTCAATTGCTATAGCTGCTCTGCAAAGCAGTTTGACAACACCGGTAAAAGGAAAGGCGTGTAGACGCTTATCAGCTGGCAATCTCATGCCTAGGCTGAGACGACCAGAGAAATTGGCCTGTGTGTAGCAGATGACGTTTAGGAGAATATTTATGGCAGCATTGTACATCCTAGCAAAAACTGGGAAATGACTCAAATGGCCCCTGATTGGAGAATGCGGAAATGAGTTCTCTTTTCAATTGCAAATGATTTACGCAATGAAATACACCGCAGCAGTGACCTCAGCCACAAGCAGCAGCAGGAAGGAGTTCCCCAAACACAAGGCTGCCAGAGGAGAAAAGCATATTTCTACGTACAGTATGATCCCATTTATGTCAACTTCAAAACCTTGTAAACAATAGACACATGCAATACCTCTTTAAAGAAAACAAGGAAAAGGCAAACACATACAATCCAGGGGGGAGAAGCAGAGGTGTGAGATCAAGAAAGTTGTCCAAGGGGATTCTGACGTTATTTTATTCCTAAGAGTAGATTTCCCAGGTATTAGACACATACACAAACATAGAGTAGAGGTGTTTATCTTATTACTAGTAGCCCTGTGCACGAATCTGTGCACCAGTAGTTCTCGATGGGGCCTGGCTACTCCATGCCTGCTACCCAGAGGCTCCCTGTGGCCCAGGCCCATCAGAATACTTGCCTCATTGATGAAGCAAGCATACTGCCAGGCTGCTCACACTGAACCGTGACTGGGGGACTCTGGTGGGGCTGAGGGAACTGGGTGCCATCTTGTGGCTATGGGCGCCACCATCTTTGTGAAGGAGTGATGGATAATTTGCATATCACCCTTTTATTAGATAGGATTTTGTAATGCCTAATAAATTTGCAAAGGCTCTCTTTGGAAGGAATGACGTGTTTCATAATAATAAATGAACAAAAGTGGTCGGAGGCACATAAAATAAGTCAGGAGGAAAGCGAGACAGTGGTCCATTGTCTGGACAGGACACCAGATGCTCTTCTCTGGGAAACCTGAGGCAGGGAAGAGATCGGGACCTACATCAGGGTGGGGTGAGGGTCACCTTTCTGGGCCCAAGAACCTGCAGAATCCATGCTTCTGAGCTGCCTGCTTCTCCAAAGTCGCCCTTCCCGGCAGTGGCTGTCTTTCCTGCCGTGCCCTCCACCTGTATGGCGGTTCCTGCACCTTTGCTGTCTGAGGTGTGTCCTCGGGTCTTCTGTCAAGTTTTACTCTCTCTCTCTCTCTTTATTTATTTTATTGATTTTTTTTACAGAGAGGAAGGGAGAGAGATAGTTGAAACATTGATGAGAGGGGAACATCGATCAGCTGCCTTCTGCACACCCCCCACTGGGGATGTGCCCGCAACCAAGGTACATGCCCTTGACCAGAATCGAACCTGGGACCCTTGAATCCGCAGGCCGACGCTCTATCCACTGAGCCAAAGTGGTTTCTGCAAGTTTTACTCTCTTGAATACATTCCCCATTTACTGAGAGCCTGCAGTGTGGCTGGTCTGGAGCAGCCACCAGTGAACAAGCTGTGGTCCCCCGGCTCGCAGAGATCCCTGCTACAGACAGACAGACAGACAGACAGACAGGAGAGCAGAGAATCACATTACACGGGGCTCCTGGTGCACACAGTTCGCTGCAGACCGTGGTAAAAGGCAGACCCCAGGTCTTCCCGGAGTCCAGTTGAGGACATCTGGGTGGGGCTCTGGAATGTGCTTTGCAGAAACCCTCGGAGATGCAGCCGGCCCACACCTTGGAGAAGCAGGGCTGGCCAGTGTGGGGGAACGCTACGATGACAGCAGATGTGCTGGGCTGTGGATTGTGAGGAGGGCCATCTCCCGAGCGTGTGGAGTCAGGGCGGCTTGTGGGAGGTGGCCCCTTCCTCATGGGAAGTCACGTTGCAAATGGTTGTGATAATGCCCCATGCCCCTCGGCCCCTCTGCTCCAGCACGAGGGCCAGTGGGTTTGCCAAGCAGCATTCTGGGCTGAAAGCTGGCCTGGCATCCAGGCCCTGGGTGGCGCCAGGCCCGTAGGGACCATGGACTCCTTGGCCTCTCTGGTGTTTTCCGATTGGCCCATCTCCAAGCACGTGTCAGGGACCAGCTTTGGTTCTGACCTGTATTCCCAGCTGGTCAGGCATGTAACGCCATCAGCATCCCAGGTGGGATTAGGGAAACTGGATGATTGACACATCCCCCCATCGGAGACCCCTTACTACAGCCTTGGATGGTGCTGGAGGAAGGGAAGGGATGAAGGCCAGACAGGCCTGAGCGGGTTCTTTTGTTGGCAATCATAGGGCTGTTTCCTATTTCTGGGCCCAAGTTAGGCCCGGTCTCTCAGGGCCTGTTAGTCAACACCTGGCATGGACTCAGCCCTGCGGGCGAGGCAGCGGGGGCTGCTGTTTGTTCTCTTTTATTGAGCACACCCAGGTGAGCTTTATTGAGGACAGCTCCCCCGGGCTCTGGTTTCCACATTTGTCTCTTTTGAGTCTGAGATTGCCAAGGCTTTCAGAGCTAATGGACCTCATAGCTCCCAGGAGCCACTTAAGGGAGGCTCAGAACTCCCTGGTGGTGATTAGTCAAACAAGGCACGGCCTCCCGGGGGAGCTGGGGTTGAGTGGCAGGAAGTCAGTGTGTAGGGACAGGAGCCCCAGGCCTGTGGCAGGTGTGGGGAGCATCTCCTCAAGTCACCTCTCCCTGGTTCTTCCCCTTCCTCATTCCTACCCGCTGCTGCTCACAGGGAAGGACTCCTTGGTTCTCAGCTGCAGGGGCCTCAGGCAGGCTGGTGTTTTGGGCTGTCTGAGGGACTGCAGTGGCACTGCTGAGTAACCTTGACAAGTTACTGACCCCTCTCCCCCCTTAATCCTCATCTGCTGCCCCTTGGTGGAGGCACAGGGTCTGTGCTCAGGTGGCCCTTCTCAGAAGGCAGCATGACGTCCCTGGTTCTTCCGTGGGCTTATGGACCATGTGGGTTCAAGTCTCAAATGGACTGCTTTCAAAGTTTGTGATCTGGGGCCAGTCAGTGAACCTTTCTGTGTCTCCGTTTCTTCCTCTGTGACATGGGGATAATAATAACACAGAGGGTGATTGCAAGGATCAGTGTACTAAGCATGTGTACTGCTCTTCGAGTGGTAACTGGAACATACAGAACATTCAATAAGCAGAAGCTATTATTATGATGCCAAGAGCAGGCCTGATGGGGGCAGAACTGGCAGTGAACTCTCTCTTTTTAATAAGCATGTTTTTACTGATTTCAGAGAGAGGAAGGGAGAAAGAGAGAGGGATAGAAATATCAGTGATGAGAGAGAATCATTGATCAGCAGACTCTTGCATGCCCCTTACTGGGGAGTGAGCTCACAAATTAGGCATGTGCCCTGACCAGGAGTCTAACTGTGATCTCCTGGTGTGGTTCATAGGTTGATGCTCAACCACAGAGCCACACCAATGAGGTGGGAAGTGAAGTCTTTATCTGGCATTCAGGTCCCATTGTGCCCAGCTTTGTTCCTCTGTGTCTGGGCAGAGAGAGAGGCCTCCAGGAAGCAGCCAGGCTGTCTGTGGGAGAGGATGGTGGTGGAAGGTGGGACAGGAGAGATGTTGAGTTTAGCCTGCTGCTAACCCAAGGAAGGGAGGAGACAGCCAACGTGTGATGAGCGTCTCTTCAGGATCCAGCATCACCTGCTTCATCTTCTTGTTGGAGAGTGGGAATTTTTGCCCATATCAGAGAGGCCATGGACTATGCCCCAGATAGAGTTGTCAGTACTGATACCAGGCCAGGCTTGAGATATGGTGTCATGGCCCCTTCCCAGCACGTAGGCCTTCTTTCATAGAACACTGTCAGCTTTCTGAAGAACAGGATGACCCTGTGAATAACATGATCATCAATGGCATGACTCTGACGTTGCTTGGGAAAAACTGTTTTGTCTTGGGTTGCTTGCTCTGCAAGAACAGGATGTGGTTAATGTGCTTAAAAGTGGTCCCACACAAAGGGTCGTTGCTGCTCTCTGGACTCCCTGCATGGAGAAATGCAGAATAGTTGCCGGCCGGCTAGCTAATAAAGGCTCCCTTAATTTTAATTTGGTCTGGGCTCCAATGGCCATTCACTCACCTTTGCTCCACAACATTCTTAACCTCCTAACACCCTGTGGTGGGTGGGAGAACAGAGCCTTAGAAAAACTAAGTGACTTATGCCAAGTCATACAACGCAAGCAAGAGGGCGCCAGGCTGGGAGCTCTGGGACGTGAGAGCTCTAAGTGGCTGTTTTCTCTGATAGTTTGCTATGGTGGGTGGCCAGGGCCTGCTCCTGGGATGCCTGGCTTGCTGCCTTCTCTCTATGAAGCCCAGGATCTCTGCTGGAGCCAAAGGATAGGCCTCCAGAGCCGCTGTATGCAGTGCTGGGCCACGCAGGGCCTGGTTCTCCGTCTCATTAGCGTCACGAGCTGTGGGGCTCCCGGGTGCACAGGTTGTCCTCTCTCCATCTGCAGGTGGACGGCGTTCTGTGCTTGGCCGACATCCTCACTGACGACAGCCACTCAGAGGCCACACGGGCCGAGGCCGCGGCCGTGGTCGCCCAGGTCACTTCCCCACACCTGCCTTTCACGCAGCACCTCACCAGCTTCCTGGAGAGCATGGAGGAGATAGTGACTGCCCTTCTCAGTGAGTCATCCTGGGGGCGGGGACGCTGAGGGAGGGGCTTTGCTGCATGTCTTTAGGGAGGGACAGTACCATCCAGCTGGCTCCACATGCCTTCCATAAGGATAATCATTGTCACCACCGAAGCGTCAGTGAGGCTTGGAACACCTGTGTTAAAATGCATGTGGCCCTCCCGGAAGCTCCTTGAATGGAGGTCAGATTGGGATTAATTGACCTTTCAGATCAGAGACCAGGACTGACCCCAGGGAAGAGTGGGGCCTCAAATTTTGAGGTTCAGATACTTGACCAGAGAGAGACTGATGGGCTTTGCTCCTGAAATCTCAGTTGATTGTAGCCAATAAATATGGCAGCAATGACTGGGAATAACAGCCTCTCAGAGAGCACCGGTTCACCCCATACTACTCCCTGCAGCCCCTCCATTGCTCTCCAGTCATGGGGCCTCAAGGCATTGACTCTTCCAGGTTCCCCTATTCAGACAAGTGTGCTTCTGGCAGGAGAACCAGAGCCTAATATCTAGAACATACTCCCCCCAGCTTTCCTGTGCAGAACTGCAGATTCTAGAACTCATCTGGATAACAATCCTCAGAAAATTTGTTTTGCAAACTATGTTCTTTCCTTTAGAGTGCTGTGATAACCTGTGTTTTTGCTTCTGTCTCCCTGCCTGTCACTGTTTTAGTTCCGTATGTTATTGAAACTGAATGAAAATTAATTTTATCAGAAAATGCAGGGTTAGCACCAGAGCTGGGAATATCTGGAACATTACATATTTAGGGGCAACCCAGAACACTGGACTTGGAGTCAGAGCACTTGGTTTTGGATTTTTGCCTTTTCCTTCATCCATTCTGCAAATAGCTACTGTGCAGGCGCTGCGTGAGATCCTGCCACTCACTGGTCCTGTCACATTGCAAGGGTCACAGGACAATTTTCCTAACATGGAAAACAAGGGTTTGAAACCCATTCCTCTCAAGGGTCCTTTTAGCTCTACGGTTTGAAGACACACAATTACTTTTCACAGAGGAGGCATCAGTTAAGTTGACTTTGTGGCTGATTCCAGTCCCTGGGGCAGTGGCACCCACAGGCCAGGCTGGGAGAAATCAGTTTACCAGCATGCGCATTTATTCAAAGATGGGAAAATGCAGAAACCCAGTTGTTGAAAGTCTTAGCTGGAGGGAATTCAAGAGGTCATGAACTTTAATGCCCACTTTATAGGAGAAGAAACACAGGCCCAGAAAGGCTGAGGGACTTCTTCAAGGCCACCCACCAGAGTTAGGATTTACATCTGCTGGGAGCCTCATGTTCAGTCATTCACCAGAGCCAGGCAGGAAGCAGAAATGAGTTGCAGAGACCAGATGGAAGGAGAACATAAGGTGATTTAAGTCCTTCATTGAATTGAAAACCACTGTTGTGACTAAAGGGGTCAGTCACTGATAAACCCCAGTTGATTTTTGCCATGGAGGAAAGACTTATTTTTAAAGATAAGACAAAAATCCCAGGTTTCATAGAAAATCTCCTAATTTATAAATTACGAAAAACCGTTATTTCATGATTGCCACATGTCCATCCCTACTTCCTTGGCCAGACTGGATTTCACCAGGAGAAGAGGAGTCCCCCTAGTACTACACTCTGATGAAGATGTATTGTGGAGTCGGCCCTGAGAGTCAGCAGATGGGATATATCTGCTGGGCAGGACGCCACGGCTCTGTTCTTTGGTGGGAAATAGCCCTCCAATTTCTTGCCATCTATTGGAAACATTTTTAAATGAGTCACTGGAATCCTCCATTTTAATCTTCCTAACACATCCCAGGTGACTCAGACAGAAAATGTGCAGCCATAAATGCGCACCCAAATTAAAAGGCACTTAGGCGGCTGTGTTCATTGCTGTGTCGGCAGCAATGGTGATGGCATAAGAATGAGGGTGGGCATTTAAACCTAGAAGAGAACTTGAAGCAAAGTGGGCCACTGAGTCCTAAGGTCTCTCGCCTAAACTCTGGATGTAGGCAGGTGGCCTGGAAGGGGTTGGTTGTCCTCAATGGTTACCCAAAAATCAGAGGATAGGGAGTCACTGGAAAAGGGGAATTATAAACGTCTTGACTCCTTGGTTAAGCCACAGTCTCAACCATGGGTGGTGAGGTCAGGATTCTGGGTTGTTCAGTGGTCACACCTGGGCTGTGGGGAGCAGGGATACCAAGAGCAGACATTGCCTCCTGAGAGGACTGAAACACAGATCTGCAGGAGCATCAGTGGGATGAACCAAAGAGGCCGAGAGAGGAGAGGCACCCTGGGGTACAGAGAAATGGGGATTTTGGGGTCAGGCAACCCTATTTTAATTCTAGGTTTCAGCAGTTACCAACAATCCTCAATTCCACAATTTTGGGAAAATCACTTAACATTTGAATCCTCAGTTCTATCACCTAAAAAATTGTGATAAACACTGGGTGGTTGTGAGGATAGAGTCCTTGCACAAAGCAAACAACCAAGATAAATGGTGGCTGCTGCTGCTAGCTTCTCTGTCTCAGCTTCTACAGCTGTAATGTAGGCAACATTTTGTACTGTAAGGGCGCTGAGGATTTAATGGTGAAGTGCGAGGCACACTTCAGGAGGTTCAACTAATGTTATTTTCTGTCCATTTGTAGTAAGGGGACAGGCCCTGGGATGTGCCACATGGTGCCAATTTCAATATCAGAACCTAAAGGTTCAGAGTTTTTGTCTGGAAACAAGAGCTAGGGATCAGGATAAAACATATCCAGTCTGTCTTTGAAATTGTGTTTCTCTCCTGGGACCATAGTCCCAAAGTGTGGCTTCTCCTCCTGTATTTTCATAGAGGTGTTATCAGCAGGAGAGGGCCTGGACCCCGGAGGCATCTTGATTGATGGTCAAGTTGGAGCTGAGAGTCAGAAGTCAGATCCATTTGATGGGCAGGCAACATAATGGGCAGAGTTTCCCATGCCTTCTCCTAAGGGAAGAGTCCATTCTTGGTCCAGTGGGGTCCATGGGGGAATGTGTGAGGGGGTAAAGGGATACTGGAATTGGGGAAGGTTCTCCCTGTCTTAGAGAACCATCATACCCATCACTATTATAGATGGTTAGGTCTGGGTTATAACCGCTAATATTAGAAAGAACCCAACAATCAAGCTCTTAGTGTAGAACTTATTCTGTGACCAAAAGGAAACACTGAAGTTCTGCTGATGGCAGCTGGAGAGGTAGACTCTTTATGTTTTAACGTCAGCCTTTTTGTCAAGGCAAATGCAACAGCAGTAGGACTAGGAGCTGTTTTCTGCCTCAGGACCTTTGTATATGCAGTCCCTTTGGCCCAGAACATACTCTTCCCTCAAATATTCTCATGATTGTCCCGTTTTATCCTTCAGGGCTAAGTTGTCATATTCTTCAGGAGACCTTCCTTAGGCACCTCATTGGGCTTTTAGTTTTTTCCTGTCTTAGCATTTGTTTATTTTCTCTCTCACATTTATTACAATTTGCAATTATTTCTATTAATTTTTTAAAATCTCATTTTTTTTCTCCTGCCCACTACTAATATATGAGTTTAATATAGATCAGGAGCAAAGACCTGATCTATACTGTTCACTGTGTCATCGCAAGACCCCAGTAGTGCCTGGTACATAGTGGATAAAGAAGTGAATAGGAATCACATACCAGGATTCAAATCCCAGCTGTGCCACTTATACAGAAACATTTCCCTCCTTATGACGCTTTCCTCATCTGTAACGTGGGTGCGATAACACTTGCCCAGATTTTCTCCCAGAGCTATTGTGAGAACCAAATGAGAACACTGATGTGAAAGCACTTTTCAGTGAGGCTATTTTCTCCCTCCTTGCTCTCCAGAACTGTGCCAAGAGGCCTCGTCCGGGGAAGTCTTCCTGCTGGCCTCTGCGGCCCTTGCCAACATCACCTTCTTTGACACGATGGCCTGTGAGATGCTCCTGCAGCTGAATGCCATCCGTGTCCTCCTGGAAGCCTGCAGTGACAAGCAGAGGGTGGACACGCCTTATACCCGGGACCAGGTGAGACACTGGGGAGGGACCAGGCACAGCACCTGTCACTGTGAAGACAGGTCAGGGGATCAGGGCTTAAGGCCTTTGGTGTGGGGGCTGAGGGGGGGGGTACAGCATGGCCTGGCAACACCAGGTCCTGCTAGTTGCTCCTATAGGAAGGTTTTCATCATGCCTCCTTGCCCCTAGAGCATCTCCATGAGCCCACTCTCTACCTCTTTTCTCAATGCAACCACCACGGGCCTTTCTCTGTCTCCAACACCTGTCCATTCTAGGAAGTAGAGCATCATGGAAAGGTCCTTGGACCTACTCTAAAAGTCTGTGTCCTGCTCTTATTGGTGCCTGTCTGACATTGTGCCCTGCACGAGGTTTATCCCTTCTCTGTTTCCGTGTAAACAGGGGTTTGCTTGGGTCAGAATGTGGATTCTGGGCCTCAGCTCTTGTATCCATCTCAATGTTTTTGTAGATTGAGATCCATGTAAAGCTTTGTTGGGAAAAAAGGATTTTACTCTCAAACATGTTAGGAAACATTGAGCAAGGGGATTTTAAAAGGCCTTGAGTTCAGAGGTTATGGTATTCTGACCTGTCTCACATCTGCCATATTCAGCCTCCCATTTCCCTACCAAAAGGTGTGTGGGGCGGTGGATCCAATGGGTTTCAGGTCTCTGTGAATTCTGTCTGGTGCCTGAGCTCTAAGTTAGATGATCCCCAACCTCTAACCCAGCTCCTCCCTGTCTGCATCTTAGCCTCCAGTCCCCACTTGTGTCTTTCAGCCTCATCACCTAGAAAAGCTGCCATAGATTCTTATTCCAGCTCCCACCCAGCAACCCTGCAAAGCCTTCCCGGTGGCTCCAGCTCTCTGGAAGGCCCTCCTGCTTTTGGAGGCCACACCTCACAATGCAGTGGTGAATGTTCTAATGGTTTTTATTCCTTTCTAGTTAGTTCACGTCAGCCCCACTCCCAAGCCCCCAGGACATGGTTCATGTGTATATTTCCCCGGATTTCTTAGGCCTCTGCCCAAAGTTGGCCCTGTGATGAAGTTCTCTAAGTGCTTCTTTAGGGCATAAAAAAGAAGAAGCAGGATGATACTGTGTTAGTTCTTCCTTATCCTTAGAATTACTGACCGTAGAAACTCACATTCAGAGAGCATTTTCTGGTACGTATAAGCATTTTCCCATGAGGGCTCTAATAATTCTGTGAGGCTGGTAATATTTGCTCCATTTTATAGATAAGAGTATTGAGTTTCAAAAAGGATGTCCCCTTGTCATAGGGTTGGCAAGCAGCTGCCAGCATTTACAGCCTGGCCTGACTTAGATGTGGGTCTTTGACTCTCACCTGCTGTGAACATGGAGTAGAGGCAGTGTAGCTGTGGAGTTAGAAAAAACAGGTTGATCCTGGCAATTTATTCATTGGGTGGTTTGGACAAGTCACAGCCTCTTGGGTGTTGATTTTCTCACTATTAATTGGGACATGAATGCCAAATTCGCAGAGTTATTGTGAGGGTGGGTGAGATAATACATGTAAAGAACCTGATACAATGCTTAGCACTTCTAAATCCTCAATAAATGATGCATATTATTATTATTACCAGAGGCCTGGTACATGAAATTCATGTATGGGGGAGGGGGTTCCCTCAGCTCAACCTGCACCCTCTCCAATTGGGGACCGTTTGGGAGATAAATCAGCAGTCGGACATCCCTCTCACAATCTGGGACTGCTGGCTCCTAATCACTTACCTGCCTGTCTGATCACACCTAACCATTCTGCCTGCCTGTTTGAATACCCCAAACCCCTCTGCCTGCCTGCCTGATTGCCCCTAACCTCTCTGCCTACCTGTTTGATCTCGCCCTCAACTGCCCTCCCCTACTGGCCCCTAACTGCTTTGGCCTCCACCACCATGGCTTTGTTTGGAAGGAAGTTGGACATATGGAAGATGGCCGGTCAATCTGGTCTAATTAGCATATTATCATTTTATTAGTATAGATAGATTATATAGGATAGGATTGCTTAAATGGGGGGAGGGGAAGCCTTTTTCAGCAGAAGGAGATGCTCTAGGCAGACAAAAATACATAATCTCTATATCTGGACTGATAGCCAGTCATATGCACCAATATATTGCCAAACCGGTCATTAAAAAAATTGAATTGATTTCTTACACCTTACACCAAAAAGCTGTTGTCCTTAAAACCCCTCTTTAGGCCCCACTTTAGGTTCTATCTTTGAAGTTCACCCAGGTTAGGTTCTGATTGGTCAGTTTCTATGCCAGTCAGCATCAAAAGCTCTGCCTCCTAGGCAGCCATTGGCTGCTTGCATTTCATCCAGATTTTGTTCTGATTGGTTGGTTTCTATGCCACTCAGCATCAAAGGTGGCTGTGGATCAGGCCCTGCCTCTCTTTCTGGGCCTATCTCTGGGCCTGATCCATAGCCTCCCTGGCAATTGCTGATCAGGCCCTACCTCTCTTTCTCTCCAGGCCTCACCAGCAGCCATGATGGCTGGGGATCAGGCCCTGTTTCTCTCTCTGGGCCTCTTTTGAGGCCTGATCCACAGCTGCTTGCCACACCCACCTCACCCCACCCATCCCCACTGCCCTGCCCACCAGCTGCCAGCGATAGGAGCCTGTGGGCCATGGGGGAGGGACTGAGATGTGCTCTATGTACTTCCTGGTGACCGGTTGTCCATCTGGTCATTTAGGTAGCAACAGCCCCTGGCCTTTTATAATGTACATTTTTAAACTTGATGCTCCAAGGAAGAACATGGATTGTGAATTATTCAAAGTCCTCAACTTGGCTTCCCAAGCCATGTATGGTATGGTTCATGACTTCCTTTCCAGTCGAATATCTCACTTCTTAGAGTTGGACAAGTTCCCCATAGAAAGAAGGTATGACAGTACAGATGGATAAAGAGGGGGACATTGCAGTCATAGCCCTTGGCTGTGGGGAGTGGGGTGGAGAGCGCAGTCTGTGTGATGTGCCTTGCACTTTCTCTTCTTTAGCTAAACACTTCCAGTTTCTGGGTCTGTCATCAACCTAACAATATTAGGTCCCTTCACCTTCAAGTTCCTTCTTGTGGCCAACTCTGGTCAGTTCATACAAGATCTAGTTATAAAACAATAAGAACAGGAATTTTGGGGGTCAGATGACCTGGGTTCAAAACCCCTCTATTATGATAATCATGTAATGTAAAATATTTTACTTCAAGCCTCACTTATTTGTGGATGTAGTTGAATAAGATACTTTGCAAATTTGAAATAAGAATTCAATAAATGATTATAAACTCTTGCTACAATTATTGGCACAAAGAAACCATTAAATAAATGGATGCCCCACTCAGGCCTGTGTGCCACATTCAAAGGACAATAGTAATAATAACAAATCTTATTATTAATGTTATTATTACTATTGTTATTATTACAAATGTTATTATTACTATTGTTATTATTACAAATGTTATTATTACTATTGGCCTTTGAATTGGCACACAGGCCTGAGTGGGGCATCTCTGGAGTGGAATTTTCTCACCTGTAAAAGGGGCAAGACTCCTCCAGCTCAGACATCCCCACGCTCTGTGCAGAGACCCTTGTTTCATCATGAGCATTATGAAGGAGGAGGGGGTTCAGGGTGGGGAGAGAATCTGGTTGAGTTCTAGCAGATGGAAACTCTGAATCTGGAATCAGGAGTTTTTCTGCTTCACTCCCTAACCATCCTGTCCCCCCAATACCATCTTCTCCACACCCTTTCCCCTACACCCTTGAAGTCTGAGCCAGGCATTGGCTCCCGCCATCCTCAGGGTGGCTTAGCTTTCTGCTCTGACTCAGAGCAGCCACTTAGCTAGCGAGAGTGCATCCATTAAAGAAACAAATGGCCCTTTCCTGTGGCAGAGGGAGGATTAAGATGACCAGAGAGCTCTGTGCAATGAAGACAAAGAAGATGAATTAGACTCTGAAGTGCTCGCCGCCCCCTGAAACACTTAGGAGATTAAATGCCCGTGAAGTTTCCAGTAATGCATCTGCCAATGACGCTAATGCTGTGCGGAGCCTTTTGGTCTTGGATGTGTACTTGGTCCACCTCCATTTGGACATCTCGATGGGAACCTCTCCATCATCTCAGTGAGCTGAGTCCACTTAATTTGTCCAACAGAAGCCTCGACAGCCAGGCCTATCCTGGACTCGCCCTTGGGGTGTGGATGGGGTAAGGGCAACAATGTGTCTGATTCTTCCTCCCCCTCTAGGGAGCCATGATGGTCAGATATCCAGAAGAACCCCTGCTAACAAGAAATCTATGTGGCTCAAATTTTAATCCCCAGGAGGTATTTCCTAGGGGTCATGCTGTGCAGGGAATCCAGCTACAGGTGTGCCATGGGCAATGGGAGAGGGGCTGCCTCATGCTTACTCACCTCTGTCCTGCCTGTCTAGCAGTGATAGCCTCGGGTGAGAGACCCTGTTATCTTCTCTAATCCACAATAGAGACTTGCACGGAGCAGGACTTAGTGTGGCCTTCAGAAATTAGTGACTTTTGTGAAGGTGGAGAGTGCTGGTATACACTTCCCATGAAAATACCTCGTCAGCTTTGCATTTTAGAATGTCAAGATTTTGTAGCATTTCTGAGACCTCGCTGTGAATAGCATTATCAGGAGTCCTTTTATGAGAAATGCCAGTTATTAGGGTTTGTAATGTTGACTCACATTGAAAAAGACCTTTATAGTTTATAAAGTCCTGTCATATGCACATGTGACATAGTAGAAACAGCACACACTTTGGGTACAGACAGACCTGAGTTCAAATCCTGACTCTGCCATTGCCTAGCTGAGTGACCTTAGACAAATCGCTTGATCTCTGTAAGCCACACTTCCCTCATATGGGTAATGGGGATAATGTTTTCTCCCTCCTGTGACCAGATGGCATAATGCTCATAAAGTGGTTAGCACCAAAGTGGATACTCAAACGTGAGAAGGCAGGGGCCTTGATAGAACCAGGAATTGGGACAGATCTGAGATAGGGAAGGTCAGCTTTGAG